TATATTTAAATCAGGACATATAATGCCCAAATAAAAAGTGGACACGTGAGATTGGGTCGGAATGACTGCAGATACAGGAGCGTTCAACAGGTACATAAAGGGTAGTAGTAAGTGTGCGCTTCAATTGGAAGTTAACAGTGAAAAGTGTTAGTCGTAGATTAAACTGATCGAGTGTAAACTATATATTGATACATTGTGCTATACATGAATATACCCAGATCGGAACAACGATTGATTTCCTACCTCAAGCGAGCACTATAAATTCCACGCAATACTGCTGTACTCTCATGAAACTACGGAAAGCAATCAAAAATAAATGCCACGGTCTTCACATTCAAAAAGTGATGCGTATCCATGCAATGGATATCCTCACGTCTCCTATAACACCCAGATGAAGATATCTTTTGGGAAGTGTTGGAATACCCACCTTGCAGTCCAGATTTGTCACACTGTAATTTTCGCAACTTTGAGCCATATAAAAGAGCATTACAGGACACACAGTTCCATTCGTGTGATTAAGTGATAAAGGCCGTTCTGCAATTAGAATCAACCACAATCTTTCTACAGAAAAGGCAAAAACCTACCCAAGCAATGGGATCTGTGTTGCAACGACAATGACAATTTCTTTTGAATTGCAATAAAGTTGTTCTTTTCTTTTAAATTGTTAAATTAATAGAAAAGTTTAGTTTAAATTTAGTTTATAAATAAATTACATTAGGACAGTAAAAATAAAGTTAATTTACATGTTGTAACGTAACGAGCATATTTTAACAAAACTGAGATCAGAGCAGAATTTATTAAAAATTGTCTCGAGTTATGATTGATCGAGTTAAGCAAGATCTCCGATGTAGTTTTTTTTTCTCTCTTCTGATTTTTTCAAAGTGATAGTTAGTTTTATTTTCCTTTTAAGAATTTGAGTATTATGTTTAAAATAATTATTTTGAACTCACGTCTTATTTTCTTTTAGTTGTGACACTACAGAGTATAATGTGTGCTAGTTATAGTTTTTCTTTCTTAATACAATAAGTCAATTTTACTACCCATTATAATAATCATAAAACAATATGTGAGTATAATTAGTTGCTAAAAATTATGTAACTTAATTAAACTATCTCTTAACTGAGTTAATAATCAAAAACTAAAATTCAAAGAGGACACAATATTGCTAACAGAAACGCAAAATATAATGCATTTATAACAAAATAACAACTATTTTGATATTACAAAAGTCCTTTTAAAATTATTGTGATTAAAATGTATAGTATCTTTTAAATTATTTACATCCATTTAAATTCCAATTATTAGTCAATTTTACTCCAAAATACATCGCAGAAACAGAATAATGTAAACATAAATTATTACTAGTCAAGTGACTTGATCGTGATTACTCTAGATAATTCGAGATTTAAAAAAAATTGTGATAACTATCGACTAAAAATCGGGATAGCTAGTGATAAAAGAACTACTAGTTTTGATCTTATAAAAATTCATTTCAACCCTAGTAAGAACAAAATGTATAGCATCTTTTACATCATGTTCTATTTGAATTCCAGTTATTAGCCGATTTCCCTTCACAATACAATATAATTGCAGAAACGGAATGATGTAAACATAAATAATTGCTGCGAACCATGTGACTTGATCGTGATAACTCTTAGCTAAGCCAATAAATGAAATCAAAAATGTGGAAAATACATTTATTGCTAACAAAAACCTTTTTTCTTTAATTCCGTATTTCTTTATGGTTGAGTCACCATCTTATTCGAACGATTTTTAGTTCCGTTATGACAAGATGAGTTACGCTTTGCTCGTTTATTTTATCAGAAGAGTGAGCTTCTTCCTTTTAAGAAGATATTTGTTCGAATGGAACCACCTGAGCTCAACTTTGAGTTATGTTTCTTTGAAAATCGGAAATAAAAGGCTGATGATATAAAATTTTGAGGAATAAATCGAAAATCGATCAAAGTTATGAAATTTCAATCACTCCGAATTGATAAAAAAATAGAGATGAAACCAAAAATATTTTTATTGTGTTCATTAGCTTCTGTAACAAAGTGATGTAATTTCATGCTTTTGCATTCTCTTTCTATCTTTCTTTGAAATATTTTTGATTTGTATAGCACGAAGCTTTTTGGTTAGAAATGCTGAATCAAAATTCAAAGGGTTATGAGTTTTTAATTCTCTTTGATATAGTAATCGAATAGATATGAACCACACTGGGGAAAAATATAGTCAAAAGAATATTGTGAATAATATAGAATATTGTGAAATTTACTGTATTCACATTCATACACATTCATACATGAAGAAATGTATCGTAGAATCTGTTTTTAAAATGATTAAATTAATTTGAAAAGTTTAAGATCACGAGAAAGTGAAGAATAGCACTGAGTGAGATGTTAGGTAATATAAAATATCAATACTTTTAAGAACAAACGTGCTTCCAAGTATATGTGCATCATTGTATGTAATAATGTATGCAGTATTACGAAGCAAAATACTAGATTGCACTATTCTCATGCACTTTCGACAAAGTAGTAATTAAATTAAATGTAAAACTGAATCAAATTAGGGTAAAGAGTAAAGGCACATAAGCTACTAGTGTTTTTTACTGTAAAACATGCTTTTTACGGTGAAGTTGAACCGAACAAAAATGTGATATACCGTAAATTGAAGGTAAAGTTTACAATTAAATGACAGAATCACTATAATTAATTAAATGTCACTGGGAAATTAAGGTATAAAATTGAACGGTGAAAATTGATTTACGGTAAAATAGATATTACGGATGATGCGCACAGTTTTCTGGATCTATTTATAGTAAGTTGAATTTCTTACAATAATTGAATTGAATTTTTTACAACCGGAATTTCTTACAATATACAACATATACATCATAACATACAGAATAATCTATATTTTTCTTACGAAATGAATCATAATATAAACAAAAATATAAAAAAAAATCTGCACTTTTATAGTTTTCCATTAAATGCTTATAAATATTTACATAAGATATTATTTCTGCTAAATAAATTTAAGTTTTATATATTGTAATTACTCAGAGAAATAAAAATGAGTTTACTTTCATCTTTGCCATAACAATTAGCTTTATACAAAGTAATACTTCTTTCTATTCTTCTATTCTCAAGATTTGGAGCTTTAACAATTCATCCAGAGAAAGTTTGTTCTATATTGTCAAACAAACTTTATTTTCATTCTTGGATAATAAAGCAAAAATCAAATGCCCCGGAGAAAAGCAAAATATGTTTACTTTGTTAGATTGTATATTTTCTTAAGCATTATTTTCTTTTTGCGGAATAAATGAAGATTCTTCATACACTGTAAAAATAGAATCTGGTTAATATATTTCATTTTTCTTCATCTAAGTACATATTTTTTGAAATAATATGTTTTTGAAGAACATAGTAATTACTTTGAATAAAAACTATTCTTGTATATAAGTTTAAAAATAATACGCTCTCAGTTAAAACAGTAATTTAATTCCTATCAAAACTAAAAAAAAGAATAATTAATTTTAAAAAAATGATTTTTAAAGAACCAACTTAAAGCATTAAAAATTTCACTAATGCATAAAACAACTTGAACTATGCAGAAATTAGAAATTTATTTCTAAATTTATACATTTGATTTTATCATTCGAGTTGCATTATAAAATTTTTTTATGCTATTCAAGATTTTATATTTCTATTTTTAAAATAGAAAATTCCATTTTACTTGTCATTCAGCTTACAGAAATATATTTTAGATGGATCGACGATATTCATGTGAATAACTGAGGTTTTTTGCTAAGAATGTTTTCGTGAATATTTTTGAATAATCCTCGTAATTTCAAAATAAATGAAAAAAAAACTAATTAAAACATGGGAATTTTCTTTACTTTTCGTTTTCTAAAAATTGAAAAAATAATGATAAAATCTATGTCAAAATGCTTATAATTAAGTTTAGTGACTAAAATTCTAATAAGGTATTATTTCTAAGCTCATTTAAAGAACAATGCATGTGCAATGCAGTTTGCAATAACGGGTCATACATAAAGTGAAATCAACGTACTTCGGTAAAAATGTGTTGAAAGGACTTTTAAAATGCTACATTTCAATTCGTATTGAGTAACTGTTTAAATTTTAACTTATATAAGGTCAGTATTCGGATTAATTGAAAAAAAATTATTATAATATAAATTAAATATTATTAATGCCTTTTTTAAAATTGGTAGAATAGAGAAAAAAAAAGCTCTTTGTAATATTAATAATTGTAAGATGTGGTGTACTAACAAGGTAAAGCAAAATTCATTAAAGAAGTCGTATATTTAAAATTCGATTTTTCGGGAAATATTCAACCGATCTCGTTTAAATTTTGCATATTGTCATGTAAAATTACATAATTTGACATGGCGTAAAAAATGCAAAATTTACAATTCAAAATGCTTTCGACTATTATTATATAAGGTAATAAATATTTGCTAACAGTTATTTCTTGTATGAAATTATCTTTGGCTAAACGAATTTAATAATTGTGTTCAAAAATTTTTCAATTCACTTAAAAAATTCTCGAGGTATGGCGAAATACGCAAAAAGTAAAAGTAACATTAAGGGGTACAGACTTTGTACCGTTCTCCTGATCACACTATTGGGACCAAATTTTCCAGATTCGGGGTTCCCCTTATATTTTGGGGGTTAGAAATACGTATAGGTTGGTATCCGTCGACCAAAAGGTATGTTCATTCAGAGAAAGTATGTTTTTGTGTCCGATTTCGCAACTTAAAATATAGGCTGCACTAATTAATTAGCATATTTGAGTTCACCCCCTCGAACCATTGAGAATAAGTCCCCGAACATGAACATCCGATCATAAGATCGAAAGTTATTTAGTGTGGTTCGTTTTTTTTCGGCACTTTGTAGCTCAAACAATGTAAAATTATTTCCAATTTAATATTTTTTAGACTTTTATACACTGTTCGAACCTTATGCCTGTTTCAGCTATCCAAATCTGGAAGCCAATCTGTTTATTTGCGACATGTTGATCTCAACAGTGGTGGAATGTACCGTTGCGAGGTTTCAGCTGAAGCACCAGAATTCCAAACTGTTGCTGCAGAGAAGAGAATGACAGTATTTGGTACGATTTCAAACCCTATTTCTTTATAAATTAATATTGTAATTATTGCTTTATGTAAACAGATAATTAAACCATTTTTTTATATTCTTTGCTCCAAAGGTTTTTTTTAAAATCTAAAACTCATTTTTTAAAATTGAGAAGTTTGGGATAATATAGTAAAAAGAAGCATTTTCAATTTTTTCAACAGTTTGTTTTTATGAAAAGCACCGAACTATTATGTAGGTAGTAAAATGCTTCATGCATCTTGTAGTCAACTACAGGAGATTTATAATTCTTGTGTAAGTACAAATTTGGAGACAATATTAATGAAACGTTTGACGTAAAAATGTCACAGTTGGAAAAAGTGTCTTTTTTAAGTGACTGTATTGCTTCAATAAGCAGTCGCTTTGTGAAGTGACTGAATTGCTTCATATGACTGTCACTTTTTGAAGTGGCTGAATGGCTTAAATTGACTGTCCTTTTTTAATGTCGGCATTGATTCAAATGACTGTCGCTTCTTGAAATGACTGTATTGTTCCAAGTGACAGTCGCTTTTTGAAGTGACTGCATTTCTTCAAATGACTGTCGCTTTTTGAAGTGACTGCATTTCTTTAAATGACTGTCGCTTTTTGAAGTGACTGCATTTCTTCAAATGACTGTAGTTTTTTGAAGTGACTGCATTGCTTCCTGAATCCGATAGTTAAATTCACAAGGGTGATAAATAGCATCAAAAGCATGGAAACTTACCATAGAAAATGGAGTAGAAAATCACGTTGCGGGGATAAATATTGAGAAAAGCGTGGATCTTGTAACTCGGATTATTGTCTCCTGGGCAAACACAAGAAGCAAAACATATATCCTCGAATTCACCCGAGAAGGTTTTACGTCGTCTATGTTTTAATAGTTTTCACGCAGTCTATGGAATTAGCAGATGCCATTTTTAGCAACTCTTGGAATAATTTATTAAATAAAACAATGAGTAGTTACCAAGTTATCTTTTGCAGTCGTTTTCCGATATGATCTGCTCGAGATTTTTGCTGATTTCGCCCGCTTAATGCGTTTTGTGAAGCCATAGTCTTAGGTAAATTTCCATCCTCTCTTTTATCCTTCATTTTATCATTCATTTGGAATTGTCGGCTACATTTTCAACACCATGTTAGCCAGATATTTGCATTCTTCATAATGGAATCGGAAATGCTATTTTATCCCCTTTTTTTCCCTCTAAATCATAAAAAAAACAAAATAACTGAAGACCTAATAATTTTCAACTAGTATACTTATTATTACTGTTTATGTAATAACTGCTATTATTTCCATATAAGAACAAACTGACAATTGTAAATTTTGATAAATTACATAGACTTACATTCGGTGAAAACCTACTAGTTTTTTTTTTACTTAAATAAAATGTGTGCTAGTCTTGCCTTAGTATAAAAAAATATCAGGTTGATTATACTAATAAAAATACAGCAATAAAATGTTTTATCACAAAGTTTGTTGGTTGGTTAATAATTCATAATAATCCATTTTACATGATCATTAATACTCTCAGAATAATGTTTGAATTCGTCCCTTTTTTAACATTTAACAAAAGAAAACCCATGAACAGAGTTCGTAAAAAATTTTTTTTTCAAGATTGAACCATATAATGTACTGGGTCCCCGTTATTCAAAAATTGTGATGCATTATATATAATTTTTTATTCTCAGTAAACAAACTTAGCAAAATAATTTAAGAAAAAAATTGCATTTACAGTTCTCCCAACAGAAGGACCAAAGATAACTGGAGGAGTGCCAAAATATAGAATAGGAGACACTGTTTTTGTAAATTGCACATCGTCTAAATCAAAACCTGCAGCTACACTTAGATGGTATATCAACGATGAGCTGGTATGTGTTTTGTTTTTGTATAGTGGCTAATCACATTGAATGAAATTAAGTGCTCTATAAATAACTATAATTGTCAAAAAAATTATGCAATGGCGTACATTTTACATATTGTCTAGACGTTTTATAAAATGACAAACAAAAACACACAAGCATTTCATAAAGTGACAAATACATAAGAATTAACAGGAATTCTATACAAAGATTCTATGTATAATAGTTCTTTTATTTTATAAATTGCCTTAAAATATGTGTCATTCTGAGCATCAATTAGACAAAGTATATAAGAATTCTAATATTTCGAACTTTGTCTTAAAACGTCTGACATTCCATGCACTGATTAGGTGTTCTACAGAATGCTTGATTTTCATGCATTGACGAGAAAATATGCAAAATGTTATGACGATTTTAAGATTATGAATTGTTAGGAAACATTTCTTAAATAATAATGCTTCAATAAATAAACAAAATAATATTACTAAGAAAGGAAATAAATAGTTTCATCTTAAAGAGGAGATACGCTGTACCTCAGGTGGGTTTTCCTCCTAATGAGGTGATCCAGGTTCGAATACCAGCGTCGGCTGGTTGGTACAAATTTTGCTCCGGCTTGCACCGACTACAGTGCTGGCATAAAATATCCTCAGTGGTAGACAGATAATGTGTTAGTATTCCCTTGCATTCGGGGTAATCATGCTAGTTTTTCGTGTTTTCCTCTCCATGTAATCCAAATATGGGTTAGTTATATCGAAAAATCAACCCCAAAGACTAATTGTTTCCCAATTGTTGATCCCTGAGTTCTCGTGTTGGATTCAAAATGCAAGGCTAGGGAGTTGAACATTAATAGTCGTAAGCTGAGAATCGGCTCGACAGCTAATAAAAGAAAAGAAAACTTGAAAAGGAAAAATGCAAACAAGCATTTTGATATTGTCATAAAATTTTCTTCAATCAATTACATTCTACTAATTAGCACCATAAACAATGTGCTAAATAAGAACCCGGGCTGCACAAACAATCTTGAAATCGGTTGATTTAAAAAAATAACGTATTTTAATTTGTGAAAAAACTAACTGAAAGTTATAACAAGAGTCGAGATTTAAAAAAAAATGGAGATTTCCGAAGAAATTTCATCGGTAATAGAAGACAAAACGTATGGTCATTTATTAAAACTTTCAAAATTCACATTGGATTCGATAAAATCTTAAAGATATCAATTAATGAAAAATCAAATTAAAAAGAATGCGTCTCGTATCCAATTTTTTCTCCTTGTTTTTTTGTAATTTGAAATTTTATTTAAAAAAAATAGTTGTATATCGAGAAGTTTCCATACAGATTTAAAATTGCGAAACGCGCGGTTACGTATAATTTCTATTGACGTTATATAGTTAAATTTGTTTGATTCAATTTCTACTGAATTTTTATTTTCGCTCAGTTTTTTAACGTTTAATTTCTGATCCACCAAAATCTTAATTTGGTAGGGGTAATTATTGCCATTAGTCCAGCGCAGACAATTGGAGTTCATTGAACTGAGTTTGATTACTTATGGTAAATTGGTACACTGTTAAAATTTTTATTCTAAATTATGGTAAAATAACTGGCAGCTGTCTGTTCATCCGATTAACCGTAAAGTTTACGGTAAAGAACATTTTTTTCCTTTATGGTTTTGAAACTATTTACCAAAACTATGGTTATAAAACGATGAATATAAAACTATGCGATTTTTTAACCATTTACAACTAGCATTTTTCAAAAACGTAAAAAAAAATAATTATCTAACTAGGCATAGGAGCTCGGTTTTTCGTAAGGTAATGGTAATTAAAGAGTGTCGGACACTGGAAATTCTCCATGTGGTGAAGGAAATTGGAGAAATATTGTGGTGTCACCACTAGGACTCGAACTCCAGTTCTGCCGGTCATGAGATTGACAGATAATCCCACTCGGCTATGATATGTACGCCGTTGCATAGAACTAAGTAGTTTCATTAGGTGGTTCTAATTGGTGAGATAAGATTCTGGTTGTTAAACCGTATTAGGTGAACTCAGTCAATAAACAGTTTTTCTCAAACTTAACAGTCTGATTACCATTTAATTTATGGTGATCTGACTATTTTGATTAAATATGGTAAAATAATCATTCAATAAATTGTTTTTTAACCATTTTTTCCGAGAAATTTTTAACAGTGTAGCAAATATGAAATGAACATGTGCGTAATGAACAAGTGTGTAGCAAATATGAAATGAACATGTGCGTTTGAAACATGTGCGTTTTTGTGTCTAATTTCGTAACGTAACATATCGTCTGCTATGTTATTTATAATTAACATAAATAATTAGCATATTTGAGGTCACCTGCTCGAATGATTAAGATAAGTAATAGAACGTGAAGATTCAATCATTAGATCCTAAGTTATTCTGAGTGTCTTGCTTATTTTTTTGCGCACTGTACATATAATTATATAAAAGAATCAAAATTGTCACATATTTGAACAAACGTTTTTAAGAGAAAAAAAAATAAACGGTTTGAATGAAAAATTATGAAAATTATAAAATTCTATGTACCTATATAAAGTATATACATTTCAAACCAAAATTACAAAGCATCAGACTGATTAATTATTTTTTGCTAACAAGATACTTTCGACTAGCGCAAAAAACAATAAATAAATAATAATAATAAATAAATCGTCTTAAATAAATCATCGAAATAAATCAGTGAAACAGTCGTTGAAATAAAGCATCTTAAGGCTTAAACAATCTATACTATATACATAATAAATATTTTTTTTCAATTTTAAAATTGATTACCGTAAAATGCTTTTCTCAAAAGAAGACATTTTTGTCAAACAAATATTATTTTTCGAAAGAACAAACAAAAGAGAAATGTATTTAAAATAAAACACAAACATACGCCAGGCAAACACGAATGTCTTCACGTGTTTGCAATTCACTTGCGTGCACGATGGTATGTTTCTAACGCTTTAAATAGATTGCCTAAGCATTGATTTTCATTTCACTAATATAGATATGCAAATTTAAGTGGGAGCATCTTTGAAATCACCGGGAGACCTCATCATTTTTTTAAATAATAATAATCTACTTTATTTTAAACAAAATGAGTTGAAGAAGTATTTTTTTAAATTTTTTTTTTTTTGAAAATTGTAATTTGTTTGGTTAGATTGATAGAAAAATTGTCTGCATTGCAATGATTTTGTAGGTATAAAAGTGTTTAAAGCGAGATTTTGCTCATTTAAATTTGTTTTCATATCATTGTTTCATATATCCATAGTTTCATCTATATACGATCTAGTTATTTCCTATTTTAAATACATATCTGAAACTTTGATTAAAAAGTAGGGTAAAATCCTAGAATTGCCCACTCTTGGCGACTTTTTGAAATTTCGCCAAGTTTGCGATTATTACTGGGATAAACGTTGCTTTTTTGATTATTAAAAAAAAATAATTATTCAAAAAAACATTAACAATTTTTTTTAAGCAATTAACAATTAAATAATTTATTTAAACAGTTAACAAATAAAACATTTATTTAAACAACTAACAATTAAATAATTTATTTATACAATTAACAATTAAATAATTTATTTAAACAATTAACAATTAAATAATTTATTTAAATATTTAACAATTAACAAGTAAATTTGCTTAAACAATTTATTTATTAAAATACCCCGAAATATCGACCGGAAACCTAGTTTGGTGAGATTTCAAAAACTTGCTCGGAGAGATTTAAAAAAATCACCACGGGGAGGGCTATTCATGCCAAAAGTAGAAAATATAGTGAGAACAAAAAATTTTTAATAAATTATTCGGAAAACTATATTTTATCTAACTTAAAGTTTAAATTTATATACATTTGCTACCTTTTACTTCAAGAAAAATGCTGATATAGTTGGAACTTTGCATTTTAGTTGACATATAAAAACGAATAATAAAAATGGTTCTGCTTGATGCTTGGGAAAATTTAGCTCTACATAGCTCGCGTGAATTCTTCATTTATACAGTTATCAGTCCATTTCGAAGATTTGGAAATCCACTCAAGTCTCAAGCACTCTTATAGTAGAGATTTTTTACAAAGAAATGGTGCATGATCCTTAGTTATATAATTATTATGCTATAAGGTGGGAAAACTTAAGAGGTACTCGTCATTGACGTCACACTATCGTACCACCCGATGGGAGTTTTTTTTTAATAATAATCAGTTGCAAGATCTTTATTATAGGAACGGAATCTTATATTATGATTGAGGACTTCCTGGGAAGTAAAGAAGCGAAAATATTTTACAGATTTAATATCAAAAGATTCGTTAAAGGCTTTTATATATATGTATATATGCATGTATCCATGCTTACATAGTTTAAAAAATGCAATATTATGAATATATATATTTATATATATATATATATATACACTGGTGTTCAAAACTTAAGCAACGAGTGGTTTTTCGGCCACAGCTCCCCTACAAAGTATAAAATAGCCATGAAATTGCAGTATAATATGCACGTAATTCAGTAGAAAGGTTATTTGTATGCAAATTTTGGAAATAAAACGTCGTATGTGATGTAAGTGTACGTAAACCTTCTGGGTCGGCGCGCGCCTTTCAAAGCTGTGATAAAAGGATGAAGAGCACCGTAGTTAAAGACATTCGCTGCAAGTGCAAGTGATTTGTTTTGTGAAACATGTCTTCAAGAAATCATTTAGACGACTTTACTCGAGGAAGAATGATTGTGAAGCTTGAGGAGGGGCGTAGTGTGACCACTGTCGCCGAAGAAATCGGGATCAACAAAAGTGTTGTTTCTCGTGCTTGTAGTGCCTTTAAAACTACTAGTACAGCTGTTCGGAAGGTTGGTGCTCCCGTCCAAGGAAAACAACACCAAGAGATGACCGTTACATTGTCCTCCAGGAGAAAAGAAACCGTTTTCAGTCACCAAGCGCCATATCTCAGCAACTGTGCACAGCCACAGGACGACAAGTATCAAGATTTACAGTGGC